CAAACACTTGAAGATAGTAGTCATTTTTCTTTCATGTTTACTTTCTTAAACACATTTATTTACCACCTATACTATGATCCAATACAAAGCAAAGCACTGTAAATTACAAGGGATACACAATAGGGGGAAAGAGGTCCTAGGATTTTCTAGAATCAGTTATTTCAGATTCTACTCCTACAACTAGAGTTACAAGAACATACAGTATCCATCTTGTGAAGCTGGATATCTACGCATGTAACATAAGGTCAATTATGTCACAAGGCAGTTAGTTGCCAGAAATGACACAAGATCATAATCATTGGAGAAGATTAGGTAATAGCCCTTAATGATGTAAGCATTACTTTAAAAGAAGTTCATTTTGGTATTGATTTTAATACCTACTAATAGTGTAAGCTCCAGTAGAATAAAACAAATTTTAATCTGTGACAAAAATAAAAAAATGAAAATACTTAAAGTTACAATATTTCTAGATAAGGATACCGTGTCAATAGAAATCATTTAAATAGCATTTGTTGTTAAAGTTACAGCTCAGCTATTTCCTATAATAATAATTTGACCAAACATAGTTAATAGCAGAATTGGTTAGTTTGTATATTAATTCACCTCACATAGGTTTGAAATTGACCTCAATTTTGAACTAGCAGGTCTAATGGAGCTTTACTGTACATACATTGCTTAAAATCCCCTTACTCATTGTAATACTCTATTTTTGCCTATACTTAAGTTAAGGAGGGGTAAAGTTTTCCCCATGTTCTAATGAACAACCAAATTATGTAGCCAACTACATAGAGAAAAAAATGGAGAAACCATGAATGGAGGTCCATACTTGCATACATACATACAGAGGTGCACATACGCATATATGCACTTCTTGCATCCTCAGAATAATGAATTATTTTGCTGATTTATTATAATGAATTAGGAAAATGAAGAAAAAGTACTAACTAGATTTTCTTTGGAAAACCTACCCTGAAGTAAAAGTTTTCTCTTTCTACTAATCTTAATGTAAACAGAGATCTAGCCAAACATTTAAGCTTCCTATACAGAGATAATATATTTATACATGTCAAGATTATAACTAAACATTGTAAATTATCATTATAGTACCTGCTATTTATTCATATTTATTCATATTTCCCTAAACACTGTATTTTCTAGAATCATTTGATTGTTAGCTCATATTATTTGCTTGAAGAATGCATTTAGTGGGAAGTATATAGTTAAAACATTAGAAGATCCCAAGAGAACAGTTAATCTGTCATTAATTCCCATCTACCAAATTCTTCAGTATTATCTTTCCCCACAGAAATTGTACACGATCAACTCAATTTCATGTTCATCACCAGCTCAGACATCTATATCTAGAAAGTTGACAATATTATCGTGGGCTTCACTTGTCAACTCATTGCAAACATATAAAAGGCTATTGGCAGTAAACACATATTTTCTTTTTTTTTTTTTTTTGGTTCCGGTCATGGTGCCTGAGCTCTGGGCCTGGGTGCTGTCCCTCAGCTCTTCAGCTCAA